TCAAGAATAATTTATTCCTAGACCACCTGCGTAACTCAAAACATTTGAATCTCAAATCATCTTTGCTCACCGAAATGAACTGTAAGGCCATTAATCTGTTTCCCCACAATGCCTTGGCTGCACCTAGAAAATCTGTCCATAAGTTATGAACAGAATCAATGACAAAGGGCAACCCTGGTTGGGTCCAACCCTCACCGGAGACGAATCTGAATTCCTGCTGGCAGCAACCTGGATTTAGGTGCCTGGTACTCAATACCGCATCCCTCACAAGATCCCATGCTGTACATAGTCGAACGCCTTCTCCAAGTCCGCCTCACAGACGCCAGACTCTGCTTCCTCATGGGAAGACATGTCGGTAGAATTGAAGAGGTCTTCCAAGTATTCTCCCTGCCGATTCACCACGTCCCAAGTTGAGGTCAGCAGCACCCAATCCTCACAATTCACAGTGTTGACGGTGCACTGCTCCCTCTTCCTGAGACACAATTATGCCTCTAAAGCCATCAAGAGGTTATTCTCCATGGCTTCGCCGAACTCCCACACCTGAGTTTCGACCTGCACGTCGCTGATGACACCTCGAGAAAAGACTGCAAAGAGTTTTCCAGTGCACGTGTTAAACTAAGGTTTGTCCTGTAATTAGCATAAATATTGTTTTATAACCCGTAATGACTGAAATTCTCAAGAGAATCACACCAGTTCTGTTACATCTTTGGAAAACAAAAAAAATATATAAACAAACACGAAGAGTCCGGTTGCCTTAATGCAAACTTTGTGGATTTTCATGACCTGAATGTGAGAATTGACACAGACATAAAGAACAAAATTACTTTTAATCAAGCACATTGGTATTATTTAATGGATATGATGACAGTAATTTGTCCATGACTAAGGCAATTATGCTACTAAATAAAGCATACAGTACAAAGAAAAGCTCTATCTGCTGTGACATGTACGGACCGACCACCTTAAGGCCAGAGCTCCAGTCAGCTGCCCAACAATGGACTCAAAGTCGTCCACTTCCCCCCAGGATGTGGGGGGAAGTTCTGCCAGAGGTGCAAGTTGAAGCTGCTTCTAGGGGTGGTCACACGGCATACATTTGCTCTGGTGTCTCCTATAAAAGGAAAGATGATGTTTGGGGACTATCCTGCTCCCCCCCCCCCACCCCCCCTGTTCTATAAATATATATATATAAAAAAAGATTCCTCGCCTCACCCCTCGGGTGGTGTCCGTCCCCCATTCAGCTCGGCCAGGAAGCTTGAGGGTTCTGCGCAGTATCCTTGTTGTTCCCAGCACTGCACATTTCTGGACTGAGATGTCCGATGTTGTTCCCGGGATCTGTTGCAACCACTCATCTAGTTTGGGGGTCACTGCCCCGAGTGCTCCGACTACCACAGGCACAACTGTCACCTTTACCTTCCAGGCTCTCTCCAGCTTCTCTCTGAGCCCTTGGTATTTCTCGAGTTTC